TAGGAATCCCTGGGTGGCACAAATTGTTAAGCACCCAGCTACTAACCAAAATGCTAGCAGTTGGAAAACAAGAAAATGATATAATAATTGGCCTGTATTATCCCCTCTATACACTGCTCCTTTCCTCTGAATTTTTCCTTCCATCACCTTCCTTTCTGCTTCCCCAAAGAAGCTCTTTCCTATTCAGACCTGGAAGCACCAAAGTCTCCTCCCAGCAGCCCAGATGACTGCCTCCAAGGTGCCAAGGGGTGGCAAAAAGCTTGAGAGACATGTGCATAGGACACATCTCCAACCTGAACCCAACTGGACAAATGCCAAGTGTGGCTTTTTCCAAACTGCTTTCCACTGCCGGTGGCCCTTTCTTTTCACCTGCCAGGACCTGTATTTCTATTTCTGTTCTGAAAGCCTGGGGGGTGGGTGGCTGAGGGTAATTAATGATTGATTCTGAAGCTTAGCCACCAGGAGGCCTCAGGGCAGGCTGTCAGCCATTTCCTGAAGTGTGGGGACTGGGTAGAAATTCGTGGGGCTGGGGACATTTGGGCAACTCTGTGAGGAGGAGAGGGTGGCAGTGAAAGCTATGGGTACCCTGAGCACTTCTGCTGACTGAGTCTGCCCTCTGAAAAATGAAGTCTATGAGGCTGGAAGCTCTGCCTTGGCACTGGCCCAACCTTTCTGGCATTGACTCTGCTCCCCTCTTTCTGGGTCAAAGAATATTAATTGCTCCCCTCACAGACACCTTTGGCTCACAGCAGCCCCTCACAGACCCCTACACCCACAAACACACACTCACTGGCCTTTTCCTGTCCTGCACTTCTCTTCTTCTAGTGCATTCAGCGGTTCAGAGGGCGCAAAAAAACTCCCAGTGCTTTCGGGAAAGGATTAAAGGAACCGACTTCTACAGCAAAATTTTAGAGGAGTTTTAATCTGGCCTACTTGGAAGTATGGCCTCTGCCTTTGTTATCTAATAATAATTAACTTTTGTACAGAGCTGTAGCTTTCAAAGGGCTTTCACATTCATAATTTTATTCATCCTTACAACAGAGCTAGAACTGGGTCTTACCTTCCCTCTCCCTGCCCTGGGCCCTGCATCCTACAAAAGAGGAAACTGAGGCACAGAGGGAGGAAATGGTCCAATTTCACATAGTCAGGGATGAATCACTCCTTTTCTGATTCAAAGTACAGAGCACCTGTTTTCTTCCCAAAGGATACATGTTAGTTCCAAGCACTGCTTCTGATGTTGGGGAAAGAGCAGGGCGGGTTAGCAAGAGGAGTCATTGGGGAAGGGGTATTGTCCCAAGGCTGGTCTCTGGGCAATTGGCACAGAGGAACTTCTGAGACCCTGTGACAATGGGGAGGAGGCAGCCCCAGACTCCATACCCTGAGGGTACATGAGGAAAGAAGCCCACAGATCATCCGGAGACTAGTAACTTAAGACAAAATGTGGTAGGGGTTTACTTGTACAATCAAATAGTTGATCAAGCAGTCAATTTAAACTCTGGGCCCCTTATAAAAGACCCCAAACCATCCTCATCCTCAACTCTATCAGTGAAGATGACAGTTCCAGTTTTAGTATCGAAAATTCTGCCTCTTGAGAACCCTTTGCTCCTGGGCAAACCAGGATGGCTAGTCACTCTGACTCCCTGGCTGGTCACCACCAGCTTAGTGGATTTGACTTGAATCCTGGAACAAACAACCATACCCTGAATGTCCAGAAGATTAACTCAAAATTTAAAAATCACAGAACATTATGCAAACACCAATATGTACTGATGTTAGGCAGTTACCTAACATTGTTTGAGTGTTAAACCTGAAAGAATATTTCTTTCCATAAAGAAACTTAGATCTGTGGTCCACTCCCTCAATATTTAAAGGCAAACCAGAGTTACTTTCTCTTCTTTGTTTTAATACTGGCAAGTAATTAAATTTCCTGGGGAAGCACTGAGATTTAAAAAAAAAAAAGAAAGAAAGAAAAAAAAGTTGTAAGTTGTTTTAAAAAGTGTATTCTAAAGTTCTCATTGATCTGAGAGTTTCTTAGTCATGATGCAAAATTTATTTTGAAATTTCAAATACCACCAAAGGCAGGCATGAAAAGAATCATGGATTTTTTTTTTCCTTTTTAAGTTTGAGAAAAATTGCAACAAAAAGTATTTTATTAAATATATAATTTCAAATCCTTCATTTTGCAGAGGAGGCTGATGCCAGAGAGACTGAGCTGGGGCTAGTCGTTAATGACCAATCCCTTGGCCTTAGTCACAGAGAATTGGGAAGTAGCAAGGAATCCAAGCCTGACTTCCAATTTTAATTAGGAAGCTGGACCAAAACACTATGAGGCAGCCCTTTTGGCTGCTTGGGGTCACTGTGTTCCTCCACTCTGGAGGAGTGTCTCCACCAAAGCCCCTCCTGGTTGTCTATGTATCACCTGCATGCTGGGGAAAGAGTGCGCTCAAGGTGGGAGGATGCTTTTCTCCTTGAGAAATAACCCTATACAGCTGCAGAGTATGTGTTCATGTTAAAATGGTATTTTTTTAAAAAAAAAACAGCTCAAAAATGGGACAGGAATGCTTTGATAATCTCCCTGACACACACCTTGAGAACTTTTGCCCAAGAAAAAGAGAGAGGGAAAGAGGATTTCTTTGGTGAGGCTGGAGAAAAGCATTGACATTGGGTTGTGATTAGTACCAATCAAATCAAACCTTTTGCTGGGTAGAAATTGAAGGTTTCAAACTGTGTGGCTGAGAGCCTGTTGGGGCTTACCCTTCAGTGCTGCTCTCCTGGTACAAGGGGGCCTGGGTAGATGAGAGGACCGATGCTGTTGCCTCCAGTCTTGGCTCCAGGAGGAGGCTTTTCTGCAGTAACAGGGCAGGCCCATGAGGATTGGCAGCATGCATACCTAGGCCCACTTCTGTCTCGCCATCCTGCCAGTCTTGGTGCAGAGCCTTGCTCTCCTCAGACCACTTTCTTTGACCATGTCTCTCCAGGGCATCTGACAAGAGATGTTGTTTCTAGACATTTGGAAACCACGGAGCAATTTCAAATCACAGTTTTGAAGTAACATGTTAAATAATGAAGCACTTATGGTTTAAATTTTAGACCCTTTTACATGTGTGGAGGATCTATGTAGTGACACACATATTCTTTTTTAAAAAACAAAATGATTTATTTATGTTAAATTGAGAGATGAGAAAGGCTGGGTGAGAGACAGTAGTTAACCCGAAAAATAACCTTTTTTTTTCAACTAGGAAAAACTATTTGTGTTTTTACACACACACATACACACACACAAATCTCCCTGAATAATGCCAGTTCTCTCTGTCCCTTAGTTTCCCTCTCTCACCAGCACCTCAAACCTCCCTAACCCAGGGCAGCCCCATCGAGGAAGTATAGCCCCTTAAGACCTGTGGAGCTGCTCTGAAGACAGCATCATTGCCATTTCAGCTGTCCTCTTGAATCCAGAGATCTGACTTGAGAGTGGAGGAGTGTCTGTCTAGGCTTTACACTCCAGGACATTTGCTCCCATGTACCCACATACAATCTTCACTGTACCCCACTTCCCTGACAGAGGAGGAAACCTATGAGGAAAGAGTGAGCTGTGTCTGCCCCCACTAAGGGCCTCTCATTCTCACTTGAAAAATCCCTTCTGATCCACAACCTAGCCCCCCACCTAGCCCAGGCTGTCAATTCCTGAAAACAAGGCCAGACATCAGCTCAGACAAGTCCCTTTCTAAGGCTTGTAATCCTCCACATTGAGATGAAGTCTAGGCCTTCAATGCCCTTCCCCTGAACTCTCATCCCAAGTTAGAAATCCACAAGAAGCAAAGAGAGGGCAGGTGGCTGTGCAGGTGTTTGGGAGGAGAGGAGCTCCTGTGGAAGAGCTTATGGGTCCACTTTCATGAACCCAGTAATCTGAGTGTGCTGACCCTGTCTGATACTGAAGAATGGGTTCAGGGGCTATTTAAGGCTCTGCCCTCAAAGTGGTCAACAACAATGGTGAGAAGATGGGTCACCTTGCTTCCAACACTGTGAGCAGGCTTATACCTTAGGAATCAGGTAGAAAAACAACTGTCCTCGTGTAAGAAAAAAGATTGCTTCCCAGGAAACAGTCAGGAGTCAGAGGAGGGAACAAAAGATGTCACAGAAGGACCATGTCTTTCAAGTCTGGTGGTCAATGTGACACCAAGGGGATCCTAGGCAACCTCACCCTCAGGCCCTGAGGCCTTCATCTCCCACTCCTTGAATATTTCCAGACCTGCCTGAGTTGAGTTAGGGCTCAGCTGCCTCTCTCTCCTTTCTCCGCTGGAAACAGAAGCTCCAGCGAATGTTTCTAACTCCTGAGTCCACTCAGCCATGTCCCCCTTGCAAAATCCTCCCCTTCCCGCACCCCCCTGCACCCAGCCAGCCAATCCGCGGCCTTCGAGCCTCGCCAGACCTATCTCCCAGGGCCTCGGCGGGATAAAATCGGTCTGTGATGCCGGGTGGATGGGAACAAACTTCAGAACCAGGAGAGACCCAGGGCCCAGGGTACCCTCTCGGGCAGACCCAGGCAGTGGGGGCCTGCTGCCGGTCAGGTATGCCGCCTAGGGGTTGGCTGGAAACTGGCTGGGAGAAAGGGGAGATGAGAGAAAGGACAAGGTCCCAGGAACCTGGCAGGTTTGTTCCCTCCCAAGTTAAACGGGGTAAAGCTGGGCAATCTCAGGGGAATAGGACACCAGGTCTGGAGTTTGGGTTTCTTTAGCACATTCCCAATCCCAGAACCTCCAGGCGGCGTATTAGCCAGGCCAGGCTAAGGTTGACCCCATTCCGCCTGAAAATTCGCCCATTCCTCCAGGCACGCGATGAAACCCTAAGGGACAGGCCCAGGGGAAAGGGTCTAATGCGGCGGGCATCCAATCTTATGCCCTTTTCCTGGGGTCTGTGCAGGGCAGCAGTGTGGTGGCGGGCGCTGTCAGGATCAGCGTGAGGAAGCCCCGAGCCCTAGGAGGGCTGCGAGCGATTCCCCAGCAATGCCTCACAACTCCATCAGATCCGGTAAGGTCGCGGCGTGGCCAGGACCTAGAGCCCCGCGCCGCCACGGTGCGTCGGTGCGTGCGCTCTGGTCGGTGGGGCTGGGAAGCGTACACTCAGGGCTCGCGGGACCCACTAGCGTGGGGACGCAGCTGAGGGTGCCTAAGGCCTGGCTCTCCCGGTTGAGGCTGCGGCTCTAGAGCCTTGGGCTTTCTCTCAGCGGGCAGAGCTGCCCTCCCCAGGCCTTGGTTTCTGCAAACCACACGGAGCGGTGGGAGGCTGGATCTCCGTGGGGACACAGAGGCATGTCCTCTGAGCCCCCCACCATCATCACCCTTGCACAACAGGTTCGGTGGGCATCCTGCGTGCTCTTAGGCCCTCAGCTGCGCCGGTACTAGACTTGCAGAACCCCTTCCCCAGACCTCTAAGCCCTCGTTCTCGGGTGCGCAGTAGCCCTTGCCTGTGGCTCCCCCAGCGGGTCTGTGAACAGGCCCCCACACCTCTCAAGCTAAAGGGAAAGAACCAAGTGGGCCGGGGCCTAAGAGCCGGGAGTGTATTCGGATGCTCTCAGACCCCTCCTTGGCGGGCACCTGGCAAGCAGAGAGCCTCACGCAGGGCGTCCGACTCGCGCGGGCTGCGCTACCAGCGAGCCCGAGCCTCCCAAACCGCGCCGCGCGGCCCAGGCCTTCAAAAGCTTTCGCAACCCACCGCCCCTGCGCCAGTTCTCCCCACCCTCCCGGCCTGGGCCGGGCAGGGACTGTGCTGGGAAGAAGCCCCCGGGTCTGGGCGGGTCCGCGCCGTGGGCACGGCCTGCCTGCAGGAAGAGAGTGCGGACAGCGGGCAGAGGCGCGGCACGGCCCGCGGTGATGGATGGAGCCGGGCCCGCCACCGGGAAAGCGATTTATGGGGCTAGGGCGCAGCGCTATCGATTTGGGCCGGCGAAGTGAAAGGAAATCAATATTTCAGATGAATTCTAGGCGAATATGAAGTCCTGCTAGACAAACGGGACATTTGTTATAATAAGGAGGGTCGGAGCGGGCGCAGAGCGCCACTGAGATCTCTATTTAGCCAAGCGCATCGCAGAGTCAGGCTGCGCAGCTCAGTCTTGGGTCTGGGGCAGAGGCTCCTCTAGGAAGGGCGCGGGGACCCTCCTCCCAGCGCTTCGGGAGGTTTCTCACCCGGGTTCGCCCCAGGACAGAGACCGAGGTAACAAGGAGCTTCCTCCTCATCCTCTGTTCCCGGCAGTGAGCCTTCCCCCGCCCTGGCGGCCGCCTGCTGCGGTACCCGGTTGCCTTGGGGCCAGTGCGGTAGTCGCGCCCTCCCGGTGCGACGTGGTCTGCAAGACAGGGAACCGAGCAGGCTGCTCGGCGTCCCTTACCCAGCCGCGCTCGGGCGCCAGGCGCGCTCCTTGGCCACTCTCTGAGGCCAGGACAAGTTTTTAGCCCCTTAGTCTTCAGCTAAAGCAGTGTACAGTATAAGACATTGCCCTGCCTTGGGATCAGGACAGCCCCCGCTGGCGAGTACGCGGTGCCGAGTGCCCGATTCCGCGCCAAGCTGGCTCTGGCTGCTTCTGCTCCTCTTCCGGGGCTCAGTCTCCCCCCGACCCGACCTTCCCCTGACCTTTCAGGCGGCGGTGGGAGGAGTAGGTAGGTGCGCTCGGACTTCGAATTTATCCGGCTGGGTCGGACCCTTACCCTCCGATGCTGCCAGAGGCAGTGTCGTGGTGCTCTAGGTTGGCTTGATTTTGTTTTCGGTGTTTTTTTCTTCCTAGAAGAATTCATTCGAGTAAACGGGAATAAAAGAAGGAAGGACAAACAAGACCACTTACTTTTACTTTATTTTTAAGTAGCAACAGGCCCAGAGGATAAAACGCCCCTTTCGCCTATTCTTAAACGCAAACCGCCTTTGGGTTTGGGGAGGGAGCCGTCTGCGCCCCGAAGCACCAGGGGCAGAGGTAGTTTTCTGTCTGGGGGAGGCAGAGAGGTTTCTTCTTTACTGTCCCCAAAATAAATAAATAAAGCAGCGAGGAAGGGAGGGAGATCTTGACTTTCTCCTTTAGTTTAATGCTAATAAACCAGAAAAAAAAAAATCGCCCAAAACACAGTTCAAAAGGTTCAAGCCTCCTGTTTCTTTTCTGATCCCTTCCTTGGGTAAATATGAACGGGACACCCCGCATATATCTCATTAGTTTACGTGACGCTGCTACCTAAATTTCTGAGAGTTCACTCATATGGTGACCCTTTTGCTTTGATAAAGCTATTTTCCCTTAGGTTTTAGCGGTTTCCCCCCTTTTCCTCAGGCATTTCTGAGTGCGGTTGGGCACGGAAAGTCCCCATTTAGTAGTTTCCCTGGAGCGGAATCTCGGGGTGCCGGTGGCCGCGCGGCTTTTCGCTGGAGCGAGGCCAGGCGTACCTTTTCCAAAAACATGAGACGCAGTAGCAAGTTTCCTTCGCGATTCGCCCCGGACTTTGTGGCTTCCATCTCAGGCTCATCGCCGCTGATCTCGCCTTACGGGTGTTAAATTTTTTTCTGCAGTTTTATTCTGAAGCGATATTAACAATAAATTATTCTAATGTGCTTTAGTCGGCTGTGGGCGTTTGAATGTTCTCTAAAAGCCTCTCGGAATTTTGATGCTTCAAGGAAAGAAAATCCTCTAAGGCAAAAACATTTCTTTAAAATATTCAAATATGCATGCGTAGTGATAAGCACCATATAAATGTTAAAATGTAGTAAGTCTGCGTTACTGAGAAAAAGTGTTTAATTAAAAAAAAAGGAAAAAAAGAGCAAATTGTCATTAAAAGTTATTTGAAATAACTTGGCGCAAACCCCTCCCCCAGCTCTTGAAAATAGGTTATTCGAAGAGTAAAAGGAGACGTTAAGAACGGGAAAGAACGATTCCTCTCATTCCCCTCGTCTGAGTCTGTTTCCCTCCTCCTGGTTTTAGAAAGAAGGATGGGAGGTTAAATGCATTTAGGAAAGATTTGTTTTCTTCCTAAATTTGTGGTTTGTCGGTTTCTTTCTTTCTTTCTTTTTCTTTTTCTTTTTTTGGCCTGTGTTGAAAATAAGATCTTCCCGGAAAGGGGAAACAGCTTGAGGAACATAAAGAGGTATTGGGGTTCCTCAATTCATCTTTGTTTCAAGATGGTCCACCCTCCCACCCTCCTCAATGCAAGTTAATTAGGAGATAATTTAGCTACCTTGTGAATTAGTTTTAAGATAAGTATCTTTTCAAGTTTTGTCACTTTAATTGCCCCGCTGATTGATAAGAAGTAATTATTTCTAATTGACACTTTTTTGATGTCTATTGGAAGCATTTATTTGAAACTTTTTTGGGGTGGAAGGAAAGTTAATTAATTCTATCAGTCTATACCCAGAAGGCCTCTGCCTAATTTTTCTGAAGAGGACAAAGGAAGTGAAGGAAAACAGACAAAAATTAATCTAATGGAATTGGAATCATCAAAAGACATTTTGGTTTAAAGGAGAGCATCTACTAATATAACAATGTGTCACAATTTCTATTATATAGCCTCAAATCTCCAATTTTACTGAGGTGTGTTTTATGGGTATATATTTTCCCACGGAGGTACACAAAACCCCTTTCTATGCTGACTTCATTTTGGAGCAAGTTCCTCTGATTTGTAACTAATATTTCTGAAAAACAAAATTGGTAGAATGCAATATGCTCGGAATAAATGGAATCGTTTTTATAAAAGTTAATTGTAAGAAAGATGTACTAGTAGTTGTCATTCTTCTGTAATTATTGATAGAATTGAGGATAAAGGTGAAACTTTACTTACACTGACGTGCTTTTTCATAGCTAAACCTTGAAGTAAACAGTTTAATCATTCACATTCTCTAGAACATTTTACTTCCACAGAGAAAGAAAGGAAAGAATGAAGAGAAAAAGAAAGACGCTGAAACTAGTGGTGGGGGAGGGGAGGGAAGGCAGAAGGTGGCTGGAGGGAGAAGAAAATGAAAGAAATCATTTCAAAAAAGAAGGTAGCCAGGTGCTTGGAATGTTTGTCATTCAATATAAGTTTTTTTTTCTTTCTTTCTTTTTAATGTGCTTTAAAAATATTATTTGAACACAAGATCTCTACCACAACCCCTAAGCAACTCCTAACACCATCCTAAATATCTCATTCTTCTCAACATGAATAAGAGACAGGATCTTCTGGGAGGTAGCTGGTTGAGATCTTGGGTGTCTGGGTATCAAAGTCTTCATTTGGTGTCCATGAACAGTTAGCAAGAAAATGCTCATTGTGCTCTGGGGACTTATAAAAGTGATTTGAGCATTATTTATTTTTATTATTAAACCCCCTGTAACCTTCATCCTTAGATGTGGATGCATGATCTTTATGTAGATAGATTTTTTATTCACAGACATAGGAAAACATTCCCACATCACCCAAAAGTAGAGACACCCCAGAAGCGCACGCACACTCACGCATGCCTGGAATGAGAGAGCCACAATCAGACAAGACACACTCCTGTCAGGGTAATTCCAGCCACAATCGTTTTCAATCATTTCTGTATAAAATTTTGTCTGCTTTTAATGATGCTTCTTCCAGATTACGTGAAGCTGCAAGAATGAGGAAACATTTTACATGAAAAAGAAATTTAAGACGTACAAACAGCAGATAACATCGCATACCAACCTCACTATTAGTGAAACTGAAAAAAATAGATAAATAATGCAAAAAAAAAAATAAGCAAGGGAGAGTTTAGTAATGGAAAATTCCCCTGCAATTAAATGAAACAGTAATTTAGTGCAGATATGCCTGAATGAATTAGCATTTATTAATTGGTTCTCATGAAAACAATTTGTGTGTGTGGTTGTGGCGGTGGGGTGTTTAAAGTGTATATTTTCATAGGAAAAGTTCCTCAAATGTTGATATCACATTACATAGTTACCACGTTTTACTTTGTGAAAAATCCTGAGTCTTTTACTGCCTAATTTCACCTGCACACAGAGACCTTAGAGTCAAAAGAGAGGTATCCCTTTGAAGGAGGGAGAATAAAGGCAGATTCCCGTTTACTTGGGGTATTTCCAAACTGACAGGAGACAAACTAGCAGTTAGTTATCTCTAGTAACATCCGAAACAAACTCCCAGGTAACTCTTCTCTGGGGCATAACTGAGGCAGAGGAAGGCTGCTTTGTGGTTGTTGTTACATACATGAGCAAGCGTACACACACACACACACACACACACACACCAGCCTGATCCAGCATCCTAACTCTGGCAGGACCTGCCGTTTGTAATCTCAGCGAGGAGCTTGCTAGGGTTGACTGGCGCATGGATGTGTTTACTTTCTCTCGCCACAGTTGGTCTATCTTCGTTCCAAGCATTTTAAAGCTGGTCTATTTATCAGTCCAAGAGGTGCTGAGTTCTCAGTTGAGCTGAGAAAGCGTTGAGCTTTGTGGCTGTGAGTACAGAAGGAGCCAAAAGATAAAGGAAAAAAAGATGATGGAGGAGAAAAGGGGGGATATGAGCTGTCATTCAGGACTGCAGGTTCTTTTTGTTTTGCTTAGCTCAGACTTTGGGAAAGGCTGAGCCACTGCCCCCATCACCTCCACTCCACTCAGAGGTAGACTTGGGGGAGTAAGCCACCCTCTGAGAGAGGAGAATGTTTCCCTGAACCCACAGTTCGTTGGGGAGAGTGATTCTGAGTTCAGACTGGAACTACTTAGCTCAGGTTCTTTTGGAGAGAGAGTTAAAACTCATTCTGCCCCCCCAAAAAATGTGAAATAACTCCTTCCACCAGTGTGCTAGATAATTCTCATTTGGAGAAGGTGAGCAGAGAACAAAAATCCAGGCATCTCCTGGTTTCTGAAAACTCTAGTGTCTCAGGGATTGCCAGCCTTAGAAACTTCCAGTCCATGGTCAGTGACCCCTGGGATGGAATTTGTGGGTCAGGATGGGCTGAGCAGAGGCATCCACCCTTCTTTATTTTAATTGAGGCAATGGCACTTTTAACTAAATCTTTGAGGGTTCATAATAATTTCCTCAGATCCAAAGTCAAGGCTGAGGGAGACAAGCCCATTTTGGTTGTTGAAAGCCCCTCCTGCATGCTCTCTTAGCCAGGTGGGAGCATTATGAACAAATGACGTGTTGTGTGAGTCAAGGGCCAGAAACATTTTCATGGGAAGATTGCCATTTTAAGTCCACAATTCACTGCATCTAGGCTTTACCTTGACTAGGTATCCTGCCCCAGGACTGAGCCTGGGTAGACTCCAGAATCTCTTTACTGAGGCTTATTCAAGATCAAGCAGAGGGAGTTCAAGAGTTCCTAGGTATTTTGGGGTCCTGTTCGTGTTTCTCCCAAGAACACCTGCCCCATAGTCCTGAATGGCATATAAGACGCCAAGTATTGTTAAGACTCAGCACAGCCAGCCTCACAGCCTCCCATCCTCTGCCAGCATCACTTTTATATCCAAAGAAAGAACGGAGACCCCAAGCACTGAGCACATCCTGGCACTTAGTGAGCCCTCCATAAATGCAAGCTGTTATTAGTGTCATCCAGAACTGCAGCTTGTGTGGCATACTGCTGGGAAGGGGCCTATCCACTGTCTCACTGAATTCTCACCACAACTGCCTGCCACACAGGTAGTGCTATGGATAGTTTTACAGAAGAGAAGGG